ATTAGTGATTGGGTAGATTAAAGATATACCCTTAGTTCTTGCTTTTTCTTAGAGAGAGAAAGGTGTGAGAAAAATGAGGGGAAATCCTCTTTTCCCATTTTCTAAATTAGGTATGAATGGTAATTCAGGTGTAGATGCCTATGTTATAGGTAGTAGCAGGACGAGTCATTCGGTCTAGCTCTTGCTGTAGCCCAAATCACAGAGAAACCTAAAAGGCAACCATAGAAGCAGAAAGTAGATACAGCAGGTATACATGAACAGATCCACTTTTTTTGGTTTTAAGGTTGTCCTGTGTATTGTCTTAAATTGAGGTGATGGCTACTTGCAGTCTTGACTCAATTGTCTTTTATGTGCAATTTTGCTAATAAAGCATATTTTCATAATTATATGAGTATCACATTTTGTCCTTTATGTAACCTTTTTCTTGTGCATTCTTCATTAACGATTTTGTTGTTTCTGGGCTTTTTTGGTTACTGGGCAAACTTCGCACTTTAAGCGATACCAACTACTATTTAGGCCTCAATCTTTATGGTTATTTACTCTGCGTAGTCGACTATTGCTATCGTACTTGTTCTAGATGGCAACTGTTTTGTAAGTTAAATGCAAAATCCTAAATAAACACCTTAAAAAAAAACCTTTCCCACTGGCCAACACATTGGAGCCTAATTCTGGTGTTGGGGCACACTTGATAAAGTTCCTCCAAACCCGGGTGAAGACACCTGCGCTGTGACCCACATGGGCAATACTGTTCCTTTTTAACAAGGTATAGTGGGAGTTTGGCCAGTGGCCGCTCAACTCCTGAGATGACGGCTGATCTCTCTCCTTTCCCCGATAGTGGCTCTTCAACCTCAGCAAAGTCTTCAACCACAGTTTTCTGTCTAATAATCTGGCAGTGAGCTCAGTCGGTGACAGTACGGATTTAATAGAAAATGTCCTCTGCAGAGAAAGCCAGCAGCATGGTAAATGGCTATAAAATGTCATATTTATTAGATGTAGCAGTAAAATACAACCAGAAAACAAATTTCAGCCATAATGGCCTTACTCATGAGTCATTTCCTCTGCTGTGCCTCTTCCTGTCCCAGATACAGTGTTAAATGCAACCAGATGCACACTTTGTCTCTCTCTCTCCATGTCCTCTTCACATCTCCCTGAGCCTGGGAACAATCTTTCTCTTTCTCTCCCCCACAGAACCCTTGTGAACTTGGGAAATGTAGTTCCTTCTTCCAGGCTGCAAAACAGGCTTAATCCATATGGAGCCACCTCTCCCACAATCCTCAGTTCTTCCTAGCTTTCATAGCAGTCCAAACCACGCACATCCTCTTCCTTTGTGTGATGGGCAGGCTTAAACAGGCTACACTCAGTCCTGTAATGACAGTCTCCTCTTTACAGTCATGCTTGTCCCTCTGACAGCTTGAGTATCATCGGCAGCAGAGACAGTGAAAACTGACAGCCAGGTCTATACAGCTACTCCTCTTATGTCAGTGCTGCAAACTGGAGCTACATAGAAGTCTGTGCATCCAGGATCCAACCAGATACTGAATGGAGTTAAATGCACTAAATAAAAGCAGGAACATCTAAACAAAGGAATAAAGTGATCTGGTAAGTATGAAAGTTGTGTACACTTCCCATTCGACTTGTGTGTAGCCAGGTGCCACTATATAATTATGCCTTTCAAGAACATTTACAGATGAGACTATGATTAATCCTTTTCTCCCTAGTGCCTAGTACTGGTACTGCTACATCACTTCCTGTTAGCAGAGTGGATTCAGTTTTTCTGACAGCAGAGGATCTTGGGACCTGTAGTCCAATAGTCAATACATGCTGAATTCCTGAGTGCTGATTGAACTACAAATACCAGAGAGAGCTGACGAATTAGAGGGATTCTGGGAGAGCAGATATATTCTACAGCAAGGGACTGGCTTGCTCTCTTCGTGTGGGATTGAGATCTAAACACAGGCAGACTGCCGTTCTCCTCCAGAGACAGACTGATGGTATACTGGTACGGTACTCTGCACATCAGTTCAGCACAACGGTGACAGCGATCACCACACTGGGATCGCATCAGCTTCTCTGCATCTGGACTGTCATTATCTGGTGTTCACACAGACATCTCTGCTTGCTGCACTGACAGGCCATCAGGGGGCAACTCTGCACATCCCTGCAAACAGCCAAGAGCCTGTGCAAGAGCTTCTGTTCTTAGGAGGCTGTGCTATCCATGGGATTGATGAGCGGCTGGATGCCCATACTCTTTCTGTCATCACTCTAAAGACATTGCATCTGTACACCTCAGTATAAGGAGATCTTTGCTTTGAGCAGAACTTCATTGAATTACTAGTATTCACTACTATTTTTGGGCCCCACCATTGCAAGCAGAAGACAAGGGACACCACCATATCAGGAACTTTAACCTCTTGCCGAATGACATCTACAGTGCGGTTGTCCAGTTCTGGGAGGGCATCATATGACGATCTCCCAGAATGCACCCTCCTGCGTGCCCCCCAGCGGTGCGCACTTGGCGATCTCCGTGATTGCTGTGTCCTATGGACACATCTGATCACGTAATGAGGTAAAAGGCCAATCACAGCGGCCTTTTACCACATGATCAGCTGTGTCCAATGACACAGCAGATCACGGAGTAAATACATTTTCCGGTTATTGGCAGCACTTTCCTCATGCTGTCACAGTGTGAGGAAAGTACTGCCGATAACCGGCAATTGTCATAGAACAGATCAGCACTAATCATCAGGGCACTAATGATCAGTGCCCTGATGATCAGTGCCCAGCAGCGCCGCCCAGCAGTGCTACCCACCAGTGCCCAGCAGTGCCTCCCACCAGTGCCCAGCAGTACCACCCGTCAGTGCCCAGCAGTGCCTCCCATCAGTGCCACTCATCAGTTCTGCCCAGCAGTTGCAACCATCAGTACCCAGCAGTGCCACCAGTCAGTGCCCATCAGTGCTGCCTATCCATGCCACCTCATTAGTGACCATCAGTGCTGCCTATCAGTGCAGCCTCATCAACACACATCAGTGAAGGAGAAAAATTATCTCTTTGCAAAATTTTATATTAGAAACAAAGAAAAACTTTTTTTTTTTATTTTTTGCTCTTTTTTTGTTTATAGTGCAAAAAATAAAACACCCAGTGGTGATAAAATACCACCAAAAGAAAGCTCTATTTGTGTGAAAAAAAATGATAATAATTTCATATGGGTACAGTGTTGCATGACCCGCGCAATTGTCATTCAAAGTGCTACCGCACTGAAAGCTGAAAATTGGCCTGGGCACGAAGGGGGTAAAAGTGCCTGGTAGGCAAGTGGTTAAACATCACAGGACTCAAGTTGCAATCTCTAGTTAACCTCTTCACTGCTGCCCTATAGCAGAAATACTGCCACAGGGGTGTGTAAAATCGTGTGTGTGTGTATATATATATATATATACACCGTGTTCCAAATTATTATGCAAATTATATTTTTCTCATTTACCTAAATAATTGATGTAAATAACAGTCAGCATAATTCTCATGTTATCAATTATTAAGAGTACAATTCACATTTTATTGAACAAACCTCCTAATGATAACAGGATTTTTGTTAAACATAAAACACTTACAATGCACTGTTCCAAATTATTACGCACAGGAAGTTTCAAAACACTTTATAGGTTATAAAGAACTGAAAATTGTCATTTGTTGTGTTTGCAGCATATTTACTGAAATCAAAAGCTATTTCAATCAAACTTTTAACAACATTTTAACTTTTTAAACATTTTAACAGGTCACCCCTTATTTGATAGCAGCTTCACAAGTCTTGCATCCATTGAACTTGTGAGTTTTTGAACAGTTTCTGCTTGAACTTGTTTGCAAGATGTCAGAATAGCTCCCAGAGCTGCTGTTTGGATGTAAACTGCCTCCCACCCTCATAGATCTTTTGCTTGAGGATGCTCCAAAGGTTCTCAATAGGATTGAGGTCAGGGGAGGATGGAGGCCACACCATGACTTTCTCTCCTTTTATCCCCATAGCAGCCATTGATGCAGAGGTATTCTTTGCAGCATGAGATGGTGCATTGTCATGCATGAAGATGATTGTATTACGGAAAGCAAAGTTCTTACTTCTGTACCAGGGAAGAAAGTGGTCAGTCATAAACTCCACATACTTTGCAAAGGTCATCTTTACACCTTCGGGGACCCTAAAGGGGCTGACCAACTCTGTTCCCATGATTCCGGACGAAAACATGACTCCACCACCGCCTTGCTGATGTCGCAGCCTTGTTGGAACAGGGTGGCCGTCCACCAACCATGCACTACTCTATCCATCTGGACCATCCAGGGTTGCACGGCACTCATCAGTGAACAGGACTGTTTGAAAATTAGTCTTCATGTATTTTTCTGCCCAATGCAGCCGTTTCTGCTTGTGAGCATTGGTTATTGGATGCCGAATAGAAAGTTTATGCACAGTTGCAAGACTCTGGAGGACTCTACACCTTGATGTCCGTGGGACTCCAGAGGCACCAGCAGCTTCAAATATCTGTTTGCTGCTATGTAATGGTATTTTAGCAGCTGCTCTCTTGAGCCGATGCATGGATCTGGCAGAAATCTTCCTCAATGTGCCTTTATCTGCACGAACCCGTCTGTGCTCTGAATCAGCCACAAATCTCATAATAGTGCGATGATCACGCTTAAGTTTTCATGAAATATCTAATGTTTTCATACCTCGTCCAAAGCATTGAACTATTTCACTCTTTTCGGCAACAGAGAGATCTTTTTTCTTCCCCATATTGCTTGAAAATGGTGCTCTGCTTAATAATGTGGAACACCCTCCTTTAGTAGTCTTTCCTTAAATTGGGCTCACCGGCCAATCTAATTATCACAGGTGTCCGAGATTGTTTTCAGTGATCAAAAGAGCCCTGACACACAATGCCATCCATGAGTTAAACTGAAAAACAAAATATTTAATCATTGTGACACTTAAATAGAATTTGCATAATAATTTGGAACACGGTGTATATATAATTTTGCATTTCCGGGTAGGGGGAGTGCGTGAGCCATTCGTGGCCTCAGCTGTCAATCTAGCCGGCACCTGGTGATCGGTGAGTAATACTGACAGGGGGAGAGAACTGTATGTAAACAATACAGTTCTTTCCCCTGTCGGCTCCAGCACACTGCTTTGCATGGCTCTGCATAGCACAGCCATACAAAGCAGTGTGCTTACAATGGAAAGCACAGACACAGCCCCATAGTAAAACACACACAGCACACAGTTAATCCTTTGATCATCCCAGATGTTAACCCCTTCCTGTCCAGTGCCATTAGTACATTGTCAGTTCTTTTTATTAGCACTGATCACTATGTTGGTGTCTCTGGGGATGTCAGTGACACCAAGTCAGTTCCCCCCAGTGTCAGACTGCTCACCTCATATCGCAGTCCCGATATAAGTCGCTGATTGCCTCCATTACTAGTAAAAGAAAATTCCAGTATATATACCGCCATTTGTAAACAGTATAACTTTCACGTAAACTAATTAATTTACATGTATTGGGATTTTGTTTTAGCAAAGACATGTAGCAGAATACCGTATTTTCCGGCGTATAAGACGACTTTTTAACCCCTGGAAATCTTCTACAAAGTCGGGGGTCGTCTTATACGCCGGGTGCTGGGCTGAAACCTTACCGTACTTCCGTGCTGACGCTTCTGCGCATGTCTTCGGCAGCAGTAGACGATCGCGGATCAGCATAGCTCGCAGAACTGCATGAGACGTCGGATGCAGCAGTGCTCGATTGAGCTTGACTGAAACTGTGATATGCAGAGAAGGGATACACATCGGGTAGCGGCTTCTGCGCATGTCACAGTTTCAGTCACGATCAATCGAGCACTGAACGGCTGCATCCGACGTCTCATGCAGTTCTGCGAGGAATGGTGATCAGCGATCGTCTACTGCTGCCGAAGACATGCGCAGAAGCGTCAGCTCGGAAGTACCGGTATGGTACTGCTGCATCTGACCTTGTCCCCTTCATTTCTATGAAATACAGTAATTAATTATTAATATTATAATGTGGCAGTTTTGTGCAATTTATGGTACCGCTCGGATCATCTTGGAGACAGGCAGGGCTGGGCAGGCAGGGAGAGCTGACCCACCCAATCCAAGCAGGCTTTGTATGCAGTGTGCACAGAAAATACTGGTACATCTCTTGCCGTGATTGGTTGGTAGAGGGGTAGTCTTATACGGCGAGTATAGCCCAAACCCTATATTTTAACAGGAAAAGTAGGGGGGTCGTCTTATACGCCGGAAAATACGGTAAATTTTGCCCTAAATGTATGACGAAATTTGATTTTTAAATTTTTTTGGGACATGTTTAATAGCAAAAAGTAAAAATATTTTTTTTTTTCTCAAAAATTGTGGGTATTTTTTAGTTTATAGCGCAAAAAAAAAAAAACACACAGGTGATCAAATACCACCAAAAGAAAGCTCTATTTGTCGAAAAAAGGATGTAAATTTAATTTGGGTGCAGCGTTGCATGATCGCGCAATTGTCAGTTAACGTAACACAGCACCGTAATGCAAAAAATGGCCTGGTCAGGAAGGGAGGTAAATCCTCTGGAGGGCAAGCAGTTAAATGGACCTCTTCACTTCCAAGTCCATTGTTATTCAAATTAGGGTGCTTGCCTCAGTATGCGTTTACATAATTCTCTGTATCCACCATTGCGGCGTTAATGGCCTAGAGGGAGTTTAATAGGCTGATGCTGCAGTTTAATAGTTGAAGCTTATTACTCAGGACTGTGTAATTTGTTAAACATTGCTAATTGAATATTCCTATTTCACCAATGTTCTATTTTTATGCATTAAATGGGGTTGTCTATCCTAAACCGATTTTTCCTGTAGCCTACACTTTGGAACAAGTCTAATATAGAGGTGTTACTGAAGAAGTGTGTCTCTTGCATTATTATCCTATACTATTGCAATATGTTTGAACCAAGAGCGGCAGAGGTGTCAGGAGGAAAAGCATTATCAAGCGGCCCCTGCGGGGGTAGTGCTATGTGTGTTTAAAAAATCTTACTGGTTCATTATATTGCTCATGTATTGAGGTTCATTTTCACTGCAGGTTATCATCATCCATAGGAATATTACATTGTCCTGTTACAGGTGTGTTGGGGGATGGGATATTCGATCTAGCGGGGTCTGGGGGGTAGGGGGGTGATAGTGGGCTAGTGTTATACCTCAGCTCCCTTCTGAGGGAGGGGGGGTGGTTGATTGGGTGGGTCTGGGAGGATCATTGTGGGAGGAGCATTGGGGTACCTTGGGAGGTGCCCTTGGGCTTTTTTGGTTTTGTTTTGGTTGGGGGGTTAGAGGGATTGCTGAGGGGTGGTTGGAGTTTCTGGGGGTGGGGGGGGGGTTGATTTGGGTACCTATTGGGGAGGATTGGGTGCTGTGTGCACACAGGGGACATCTTTGGTACCATCAGTGACTGTCTATTGTGGGGGAGTTCCATTATGCCGGGGGTGGGAGTGATTACCAGGTCCCTGATGCAATGTGTTTTACGTTGTATGTTTTGTACGAATAAATACGTTTTTGAGGTTAGCCTTTTAGGTGTGTAGCCTATTTTCTTTTTTCCTTGGTTTTGTATTATATGCCTTAGGTAGCATCCTTATGGATTGTTCTGGAGGCACCTCATAATTTTTTCTTGAATTCCAGTGGACTCCCCGGCTTCCCTCTGCTCCCCCCTTTTTTTATACTAAATGTATGAGTGCCAGTGTGAATGTATCAGGTTCAGTCATTCTGGACCCTACTAAACAGAAATCACATCCCCTCTTTGTATATAAGTGGAAGTATCTTAGATTGTAAGCTCCAAGGAGCAGGGCCCTCCTAACCAGGGGCAGACTGACCATTTGGAAACTCGGGCACTGCCCGAGGGCCCGGGGTCAGTAGGGGGCCCCATGAGATGCCCCTGGTACCTTTTTCATAGGCTTTTTTGAGTTTGGGCAAGGACACAGGGGCTCCATGATCCCCAATTGCCCGGGGGCCCCATGAGTTGTCAGTCCGCCCCTGCTCCTATCCCTCTTGTATTGAACTGTATTGTTGCTGTATTGTCTCCCGTTATATTGTAAAGCGCTGAGCAAACTGTTGGCTCTATATAAATCCTGTATAATAAGTATCCCGCCAGTATAAATCTGCCTAAAACCACTGCTTCCTCCCTCATACCTATGCTGTATGATGCTGGTAAAAAACAGAAGATCTGTATAAACTCTAGTCTACACGATTCCAGTCACATGATGCTGAAACTCCAGCTCCCCTGTATCATGAAGCAGCTGCTGCAGGGAAGAGGAGGGAGCGCCAACAATAGAGGGGCAATGAAATCCAACGGGTGACATCAAAGCTCCTGGAATTTAGCCCCTTTGTTGAGTACACCATACAGGGGCTTCTGCATCATGTGACCGGACTGGAGCGGACTGAAATAAGATACAGTATTTACATAAATCTTTTTTTTTTTTACCAGCAGAATACTTCCACTTTATTCCAGGCAGACATTAAAACAGCTATTATTGCAAATTAAACTTTTTTAATTGATTTGTTTATTGGACTCAAACAGTTGTACAAAATCACAAGTGTACATGAATTCAATCTGAATAGCAGTGCAAATAGGCATGTACAAAAATGAGTAACATAAAGCACAATAAAGGAATATAATCATTGACAGACTGAGTTGTGTTAAAGGATAAGTCCACCTGTTTTTAGGGTGGAACATGTAACATGTTCCCATAGCCACAACCGCGCTTGCTGCCCCCCCCCCCCCCGGGGAGAAGTTTCCCAGTACGATCTGTCAGATTTGAAAACAGTGTGGCCATTCAGGGCTCCACCCACACATCACATCCACAGAGTTCATTGAATGAGCGCCTACAAGTCCTTAGCGGCTGTGGGATTGTAGTTTTCAATGAGCTACCACACCACTGTGGAGTACTGTGGAGCATGGTGGTAGTTCATTGAAGCTTCCTGTCAGAATATCTGCTTGGCTGTACATCTCATACATCCCGTACAGCAAGCAGATATTCTGACAGGTCTGCAGGAGACCTGCATGGCACCAGCGATCTACTGATCTCTGGTGCAATGCTTTCCAGGCTCCTTTGCACAAAAATAATAAATGCACATTTTTACCTGCAAAAAAATATGCATTTTTTTCCCCCGAACACTATTTTATTGAAAAAAAATAATAACATGAACAAATCACATTATGATCATGCAGTTGTTTTATTATATTGTTTTATTATATATACCTATGAATGTTTTTCTATAAAATATGTATGTAGTTTTATTATATTTATCAATATTATTAGCACTAATATAATGATAATTCTCCTATTCACCATAGCAGATATGGATAGGATTATTGACCATCTTTCCCACCATTCCACTGTTTTATTGCCGTCAGCAATGTTTTTGAGATGTGAACTCATCCAGCTGGCTAATGAATCTTCAAATCTTCAAAAGCTGGCTAATGAATGTCAAATGATAAAATGTTTTCTAATCTTACACATGCCACTTTGACACAATTAAGCCCAAAAGGTTTTTATTATGATCGTATTCCTGTCCGTATAATGTTTTTTATATTTCAATTGCAATCCGATCCTGTTGTGAGACGAGCCGTCCGCTCCTGATTATGCCCCTGATTTTCCCCCTGGTTGTTAAGCCGGCCCCTTGTGCCATACAGGTCTTCTATAAAATGGCCGATTGCTGGACTTTTTACAGACTTGATAAAGTGCATGCGCACGAAACATGTTGTCCTGGTAACCGGCGTCTTTCTTCTAAAGCTGCGGCTCCAGCGAGAGTTCCCCCCCTCCGTCTCTCCACATCGTGGTGACGTCATCCGGGACGTCAGGTACACGTGGTCCCTGCACTGACAGGCATTCTACTCTCCACTGCTTCCCTCTGAGCGGAGGGGCCGTCCATCTTGGAACCTGGCTTCTTAAAGCCACAGACTGGTTATCTAATTTTTACCATATGAATTATTAAAGGCACACCTCCGTATAAGGTGCATTACTTTTATCACAAGACTACACAGCGCCTGGCTCCTGTTCATACTGACCATGCAGAGGACCCCAGTCAGGGTGAACATAAATAAAACATACAAAATCTCAAATTGTAACAGGAAATAAAAGTGGTAACAGTAGAAGACACTGACCAATGAAGCAATGCATTTATTATTTTTGTCCAAAAGGTGAACTTATCCTTTAAGCCGTAATAATTTACGCAGACACAGGATCTGGCAGAGGAATCCTGAATAGAAACCGATATGTTCCATAAAGACCTTGCTTATACATGCATACAGCCACGTAAACATGCATACCGTATACATTCTTAAAATTCTTCTTGATCCTCTTCTAGCTGACAGTGTTTCATTCTACCCGTATACACTTGTAAGAACTTGCATATACACATATATAGT